CAACACTACGCTCTGCTTGATTGGCAACCTACCTTGAAAAGCAAACCATGTAAGCTAACACTCAAAGCTTGGGGGCAGGCACAGAGGTGAAGCTGCTGCCTGCATGCCTGTGTCCCTATCAGAATGCCTGAGATCAAGTTCCAGCTCCTCTGCTTCCGATCTAGTTTCTTGCTAATATGACTGGGAAGCAGGAGAGAATGGCCCAAGTACCTGGGCCCCTGGCTTCAGTCCACCTGTTGCGAGCATATGGGGAGTGAACAAGTAGATGGAAAGTCTCTCTCTCCTACCCTCCCACCTTCCCTTCCCAACTCTGCCTTTCAAATAAATATTTTTTAATCAAAATCCAGGGTTTTGTGCATACCCATGTGCACTGTTAAAGAGCTAAAGGGTAGAAGTGATTCTAATGCCCATTGACAGATAGCAACCAAGATGTAGTGTGCATGTGTAAAATGGGACAGTATTCAGCCTTAAAAAGAAAAAGAATTTTAACCCATACTAAGAACCTTACGCCAAGCCAGTCGTAAGAAAAACATATACTGTATGAGCCCACTTACATATGGTATCCAAAATAACCAAACCCAAAGAAACAAAAAATAAAATAACAGCTTCCAGGGTGATGAGACAGAACTTGCTATTCCATAAAATGAAAAGTTCTAGAGATATGTTTCACAGCATGAATACAATAAGGCTAGTAATCTGAACATTTACAAATGGTTAAATTTTGTTACATATTATTCTACCACAACTTACTCACACAAACCCCAACAAAACACAGTACATTAATTCGGAGCACAACCCCAGAGCTGATGTTCATGTGGGTGCAGATCTGCTCCTATATGAATTCTCTGTGCACAAGCTGCAATGCAGACAGGTCATCTTCAACCACACCAAGCAGTAGACTAGTCATTCTTTTTTTTTTTTTTTTTTAAGATTCCCCATTATTTTTTTTTTAAGATTTATGTTATTTTTTATTGCAAAGTCATATATATAGAGAGCAGGAGAGACAGAAAGGAAGATCTCCTGTCCGATGATTCACTCCCCAAGTGAGCGCAACCGCCAGTGCTGCGTGATTCAAAGCCAGGAGCCAAAAACCTATTTCAGGTCTCCCATGCCAGTGCAAGGTCCCAAGGCTCTGGGCTGTCCTTCACTGTTTTCCCAGGCCACAAGCAGGGAGCTGGATGGGAAGTGGAGCTGCCGGGACTAGAACCAGTGCCCACATGGGATCCCAGTGTGTTCAAGGCAAGGACTTAAGCCACTAGCCACCACGCCAGGGTCATTCTAATGCTGAAAACTTGGTAAGTGAAACAGTTGAGTTTATCATGTTAAAATATGAATGAACAAAACAGCTCACTTTTGGGTATATCATTTTGCCTCCTGTTTCCTTTATATTTGAGACAAGAACCAGGGCTGGAGACAGGCCAGGCTGGACAAAGTGGTGGCAACTGTCAGCATACGTGAGACCCAGCTCTGTGGGGCGGGTCAGGCTGAGCTAACCTGCAGCAGAGGCTGGCACACACAAAAGCCGGGACTGCATTCAGGTCCGGTGGAGGTTACAGTAAGTTGCCCCGACTAGGCTGAGGCACCTGCTAGCATGTCTCTGTGTGAACTGACTGGGCTGGGCCACAAGTTACCCTGACCAAGCTGAGGTACCTGCTGGTATGTGTGATGACCAGGTCTGTGGTGGACTGGTTGGACTGGACCACAGCACCAGTCAGTTTGCAAGAGGTATGGGGCTGAGGCGGAACTGAACAAGCTGCATCTACCAGTATGTGTGTTGGCTGATGCAGGTGACAGAACAAACCTGACTCTGAACTGACTGTCACACATATGAATTAAGTCTGAGTTCATCCCAGGTGAGGTATCTTGGGGTTCCTTGATTGGATTGTTGACTCAGACCCTGGTCACATGGAAAAATTACAAAATACATTGTCCAACCATGGAGTGCATGCATCAGTCCTGAGGGGCCTCCTAAATTGCGGAGGTCTGTGCAGTTGACAGCATGCCCAGATGCACACAGGGGATATGATGACCAGCTCATCTAGGCCAGCAGGGGACGTCCTCTGCCAATCAGAGGATACAAAGCAGAACAAGTTGAACCACTCTCCTGGCCAAGCTTTGCAGCATGTTCCTGGGTAAGGTGGATTGTGTCAACCAACAGACCTTGGAAAGATTTTCTTAACCCTGGAGCAGCAAGACCAAAGACATCTCAGGGCTATCCAGTAACACTCTCCACATACTCTTCCCCATATTGGGACCTCTGAGGCATCATCAAAGGACTTTCTCCCATTCCCAGGTGCTGACATAGTTTGATACAAGGAGCAGTCCTCTCCCAATCCTCCCTGGTGGATGCAGGTAAAACAAAAACAAAAACAAAACCTGAAACGTGTGCCACCCACTTTCCTCCATGCCTGAACCTCTCTATGCTAACCAGAGGCTCTCCTGTGCATGCATCCCTCTCAACTATGTAAACAATCCCGAAAATATATTTTTTTCATTACTGAAAAAAAAAAAGCTGCAATTTGGATGGGCCAGTGCAATAGCTAGTCTTCTGCCTGCAAGTGCCAGAATCCCATAAGTGTGTTGGTTCATGTCCCAACTGTTCCATTTCTAATCCAGCTCCCTACTTATGACCTGGGAATACAGTGGAGGAGCCCACACTCTTAGGCACCTTCACCTTCATGGCAGATCTGGAAGAAGTTCCTGGCTCCTTGCTGTTGATTACCTCAGCTCTGGCTGTTGCAACCATTTGGGGAATGAGCCACTGGATGGAAGATCTCCCTCTGTCTCTTCTTCTCTCTGTAAATTTGCCTTTCCAATAAAAGAATAAATAAAAGCTTTTTAAAAAGATACTACTTGGAATAGACACATCCCAGATCAGAGTACTGGGTTCAAGTCTGCGCTCTGCTTCTGATTCTAGCTTGCTGCTAATGCATACTTTAGGAGATAGCAGGTCATGGCTCAACCCCTGCTAGTCATTTAACAGACCTTGACTGAGTTCCCAACCTAGTCAAGGAACAGCTGTTGCAAGTACCTGGGAGATCCTTATACCTCTGTTTCTCTCTGCCTTTAAAAATAAACAGGAAGCGGGCCCGGCGCGGTGGCGCAAGTGGTTAAGGGCCTCGCCTTGCACGCCCGGGATCCCATATGGGCGCCGGTTCTAATCCCGGCAGCCCTGCTTCCCTTCCAGCTCCCTGCCTGTGGCGCAGGAAAGCAGCAGAGGACGGCCCAAAGCTTTGGGACCCTGCACCCGTGTGGGAGACCCAGAAGAGGCTCCTGGCTTTGGATCGGCATATCATCGGCCGTTGCACTCACTTGGGGAGTGAATCATCGGACGGAAGATCTTCCTCTCTGTCTCTCCTCTCTGTATATCCGCCTTTCCAATAAAAAAAAAATAATAAAAATAAATCTTAAAAAGAAAAATAAATAAACAGGAAGCTATAATTGTGGCACATGGCTGCTCGCAATGCCAGCATCCCATACTGCAGTACTGGTTCAAGTCCTGGCTGCTACCTTTCTGAACTTACCTCCTACTGATATACCTAGGAAAGTAGTGGATAATGGCTCAAGTACTTGGGTTGCTGCCATCCATGTGGAAGACCTGGATAGAGTTCCAGACTCCTGGCTTTGGCCTGATCAATGCAGTCATTTGGAGAGTGAACCAATGGATAGAAGATCCGTCTTTCCCTATCACTCTTTTCCTTCAAGCAAATACATAAATAAATCTTTAAAGGTAAGTAATAAAAATGTAGACTGACTGACATATCAGAGGATAAAAGCCACTAACCCTAGGGAACTGTAACACTAAATCACCATCAGAAAGGACTGTCCTGTCACTATGCTAACGCCTCCAGGGTAGGAATGACAGCTACAACACAGGGAGCTTTTGCAGCACTTGCTTAACTGATACCAAACAGAACATTCTTCATTAAGGACAAGATATTGCACACCGAAAAGATTCCAATTATAACTAGCTTCACATTCTACTCCACTTTCCTGACACATCACTTGTACTCCAGCCTCTACCACCCAGACTGTAATCTCCAGCCACTGAATTTCTTGTTGTTCCTCTAAATATAAGGCACCCCCCACCCCCAAGCTTCTATACCTTTATGCAGGCCTTCCTCACTACCCAATATATATTTTCCCACCCCTTCCATCTGCTGAATACTGACTCATGTTTCAAGTCCTAACAAAACACTCCCTTTACTTAAAGCATCTCCAGCTCAGAAAGCAACAAGTATGCTGTTTCACACTCACTGTTGTGTCTGACTTAGCAAGTCATTCAACACCTACTGACTCAATCTGCTGTAATTACTATATGGTAAGCTCCTCAAGGGTCAGGGTGATTCTTTTACGTTAGTGGTTCCCAATAGAAAATTTTTATCCAGAGAGGACATGTGCCCACATCTAAAGTCATTTTTATCATCACAACTGGGCAAGCACTGTTTTCGGCACTGAGTGGGCAGAGGTCAAGGATGCTGCTGATCACCCTACAGCCCACCCTAGGAGAGCCCTCGCCACAACCATCTGGCCCCAAATGTCAACGACTTGGCCAGAGAAAAATCCTGGTACAAATGTGACTTTTACCACACAGAAACAGTCCATTGCCCATAACAAACCTGTTGTGAAATAAACTGCCCAGTGGGTTACATCAAGTTCTAGAAATTTAGTAGGGTCACTAAATTATATCTAAGAACACAGTTAAAGCTAGTAAAGAAAGATGCAATCTCTACTTTCCTGCATTCCTTCAAAAACACATCTCACATTAAACTACCTTAATTTTTAGCACCCACACACCTAAGAAAAGTCACTAAGATATAAAGGACATTCCTACAATGACCACATAAGCTAAATTACATATTTTTTCTCTCTTGACTATAGGTCACAAATGAATTATGCCTAATTTATAAGTGTGCTTAAATCTGAAAACTTCTTAGTCTTGAGCTCTAGCTAATCACCCTATGGCGTTTTACACACTTGAGTTTTTCATGCCTCCTTACCACTGTTAAATTCCGGATTTCTTCCATGACACGGGGCCAGAAGGACTGCAGGCTTTGCTGGGCATCACTGCTGCTAGTACCACCAAATCCTCCTTCTGTGGACATTTCGACAACTGAAAAGAAACACACACATGACACATATGAGAAATAATAAAGCCAGACATTCTGTATAGGGTAGACACTTCTCTCTTTGTTTTGTTTAATTTTATTTAACTTGACAAGGTACGTAATTGTGCTGAAGAAATTTTTACCACAGTACAGAACCAACACTTGGAATAAAGCTTTCTCTTCTCCTTAGCTGATGTCATGGAGACTATCAAGGAGTACCTACTAGAAAATCAAAAGTTGTTACAAACCCAATTTACGGGGTTGGGAAAGGCACCCTGTTGCCCTAGTCTGGTCTAGAGTTTTCAATGTGATTCCTTCTAAAGCTTTTTCAAATTCAAGGGTTCTCATGCTCCATGTCACAGCTTGCAGCTTGCAGCTGTGACACACGAAGGGCTGCAGGGAATAACACTGCACAGACAGGTAAAGCCAAACTTAATAACAGCTGTGTTTATTCTTTTGTTTTAAACACTGTGATCCCACTTCTCTGGAGCTATCAGATTACTCCTTCTAATCTCAGGAAAGTCTGCCACAAAGGAATAAAAGGGCTTGAGACTAGGCCAATAATTGAATAGATGGCATGAAGTCTGAGCTGAAATTACATACTCCCCAATACTTTCCTTTCCTGAACACTGCTATCAGGCACAAAGCCAAAATAGCATACCAGCAACTGGAGGCATTAAAGACAGGTGAAAACAATGGGGAATTAAAATCAAGATAGAGAATACAGGGTCAGAACCTGCACTTGGTTTACCAACTGCTTTGGGATGGAGGAGGGAAGATGAACAAGGATCCCCATGTCAGTTGTAACTACAGATAATAAAATGCCTCAAAAGATTTACAGGGGAACAGTATACTCCAGATGGTTTAAGTAGTTAGCAGGCAAACACTTAAATGGACGAAACAGTTTAATTAGATACCAAAACACGAGAAACTTAATGATCTTCTACAAATTTCTATTTCGGGGTAGTCCAGGCAGTCTAGAGAAATTATCTACATTTATTAATAGTTTCATATAAGGTACTCAAGGCAGTAAGACTCTTCCAATAAGAAGATAATTCCAGAAGTACATCTACAACTAAATGCACAGGCTACTTTTAGTGTGGAATTGCCCTAATCATGGACATGCTGCAATGAGCAGGCCACAAACATCTGTGGAGTCAATACACAATGAGTAAATCCTTGGCAGGCTCACAGCCAAAAACTGTTGTAATAGTTGGGTATAAACACACATTAGCAAATCTTTTCGTAACTGCAAATGTACTTAACATTAAATTTTTAACTTGAGAAGCCTAGTAAAACTATAAAATAAAACAGATAATAATAAAAAAAATATAAGTCAATAACAGCATCCTTTACATCTGACTGCTTCACAGAAATTTAGGACTAAGACACTAAGCGACACCCAGACCCACCCCTCCATATGATGCTCACAGCTCCTCTCTGCCCCTGCAATCCTACCGTAAGTGGTCATCCAGCTCAAATCTGACTGCCTCCTCTCCAGTTCTGGGAAACTGGCTTACTGGGAAGGCATTCTTTTCCATCTTTGGACAACTCTGACTGCTCTTCTTTACATTAAGTTTAATTTACAAGCAGGGTTCCATCTGGGCGTTGGATTTAGAGTTATGGCCTTTATGATTTTTTTCCATGCAGCAACCTCATTTTATAAATTTCAGATTTCAGAAGACAAAGGTACTTTCCTTACCAAGGACATAAGAGAGCAGAAACAGAAAAAGGTTTGGAATATGTTTTCCAACATCTTTGCAGAGACAATTAGTGGAATCTCTTGAAAGAACATAAGTCGCAGTGTAAATTCCTGAAAAGGGCAGAATTTTTATTCAAAAGGCTTTCCCTAAATCACATCCACTCTCCACACAAAGTTTTAAAAATGAGACCAAATCTCAAGCAACACTGTGTGTGTGTGTGTGTGTGTGTGTGTGTGTGTGTGTGTGTGTGTGTGTGTGTGAAAAACTAAGTATTCCTGGTGTTTTCTCACTAACGCATTAGGTAAAAGGAATTAATCAAAAACAATTTTTTACTGGTCAAACAACTCAATAAATTAAACAATATAAACACTTCTGTTAATCATCACTTCTTAGTTTAATGATTAAGACATTAACAGCATCTGAATCAATTTTGCTACAAAAGTAGTTCATTTCTAACATATACTGCTCACAGAAAATGTATCAGTCCATATTCTAGGGAGATGAGAACAGGGATATATTTAAAGAAGAATTTATCCCAGGATTCTCTTCATTCCACATAAAACTGTCAACTCAATCACAGGATAAAACTAATTACTTGAATTAACAGAAAATTTGTCTTAAGAAAAAGCTATAGGGCCCGGCGAGGTGGCGCAAGTGGTTAAGGGCCTCGCCTTGCACGCCCGGGATCCCATATGGGCACCGGTTCTAATCCCGGCAGCCCCGCTTCCCTTCCAGCTCCCTGCCTGTGGCCCGGGAAAGCAGTCGAGGACGGCCAAAGCTCTGGGAACCTGCACCCGCGTGGGAGACCCGGAAGAGGCTCCTGGCTTCGGATCGGCATAGCATCGGCAGTTGTGCTCACTTGGGGAGTGAATCATCGGATGGAAGATCTTCCTCTCTGTCTCTCCTCTCTGTATATCCGCCTTTCCAATGAGAAAATAATAAAAATAAATCTTTAAAAAAAAAAAAAGAAAAGAAAAAGCTATAATAGCTTATATCATTTATGAAAAGTATAATATTTTCCAGATTTAATTAATTTTGGGTTTATTCTGTTCATTAATTATTTTATAAATACTTTTTAAAAAAGACTATTTAATAAAGGGCTAGGACAAGTTGAAATATTAGTCATGGTAGCTGGAAATAATCTCAACTCTTGAATGTTCATTAAATTTATTTGATTATAATTTTTTAACAGTTTGCTTTCCAAAGCTGGAAAGGGAAGAATCCAAGTTCATCATGAGATGGTTGGTTCTCCAATGCTCAACTCAACTGCCCTCTCTCCACAGTCTTCTTGCTCTTTCTGCTCTCCAAACAGTGCCTGGTACGATCATTTCCATATGCATGTCTTAGTTCCCTCTTGGACACGCTTCCCTCAGAGCCTCCAGCACACGGCCTGCTAACTCATTGCTCCTGACTGAAGGGGCGGGAGAGTGGCTGCGTAAGGCCTTTCTGAGAAAGGGGAATCTTGGAAAGCTTGACCCTGCAGAATACAGAATGGAATCTTTTGAACAACCAAAGTAAGTGTCTGCACAAGCTATTACAGGGCACTCAGCACGAGGCTTCCCTGAGTCTTTAAGTCCACAACCAGAAGTCTACTTGAAGCTGACTTACTGAAGATTTGAGAGAAAGGGAAAGAGCAAAAGGTAAGTGTGTACGTGGGTGTGCACGCACAAACCCAAAAAAGTCTTCGGTGTTCGGAACTGCAAGGAACTAGGAAGCTAGAAATGTGGGTGCACACTGTTACAAGTATACATCTTTTCAAAGTGACAGCCTATTAAAAAAAATAAACAATACACATGAGCAAAGTAGGCAAAAGTTAATGAAATACAGGCTGGAGTAGATGAGGAAAAATATCCTCATCTGGTCAGCCATTAGAAAGAGGGGGGCTTGTGTTGTGGCATAGTGGACTAAGCCACCACCTGCACATCAGCACCACATAGCGTCTCAGCTTGTGTCCCAGCTACCCACTAATACATCTAGGAAAGCAGCAGAAGACTCCCTGAGTACCAGGCACCTGCACCAATATGGGAGATGTGGATGAAGCTTCTGGCTTCTGGCTTCAGTCTGGACAACTTGAATCTGCTGCAGCACTTTGGGAAGTGAACCAACAGATGCAAGAGTTCTCTGTCTATCCCCTCTTTCTCTGCAACTCTGCCTTTCAAATAAACAAATAAATCCTTTAGAAAAAAAAAAAGAAGAAGAAAACCATGAAGAGAGATGATTCAAACCAACTACTTCAGGGTAGGCAACCAAGCTGTCATTTTAATATCCAGTTACTCTCATCATTCTGGAGGAAAGAAAATTAGATCTAAACAAATTTCAAAACACCCCCCAAAGCACAGTGCTTGTCTTTTAAGATTTTCTTGGAAATCTTTCAAATTCTTGCTCCTGATCAAGCACCATGCTTGCCAAATCTTCACTTAGTGTTTTTCCTGGGTAAGGAACAGGATGTATCAAAATTACCAACTTCATAAAATACAAAGAAACGTAAGGCTTTACTACATTACCTGGCTTCTAAAAGTCTGTATCTTTAGGCTTCAGTTCTCTATTCTCTGGCATTTATTTCATTCTCTATACCAAAGTCTTATAATATGATTAAAACCACAATACAGCTCTGCACAGCAATTTAAAAAACCAAAGCTTGGAGACAACACCAAAGTGTCCAATATCTTAACTGTTCAAGAAAATAAGACTACATGGACCCGGCGGCATGGCCTAGCGGCTAAAGTCCTCTCCTTGAACGCGCCCGGGATCCCATATGGGCGCCAGTTCTAATCCCGGCAGCTCCACTTCCCATCCAGCTCCCTGCTTGTGGCCTGGGAAAGCAGTTAAGGATGGCCCAAGGCTTTGGAACCCTGCACCCATGTGGGAGACCCAGAAGAGTTTCCTGGTTCCCGGCTTCGGATTGGCACAGCACCAGCCGTTGCGCTCACTTGGGTTGTGAATCATTGGACGGGAGATCTTCCTCTCTGTCTCTCCTCCTCTCTGTATATCTGACTTTGTGAAAGAAAAGAAAAGAAAAGAGAAGAAAAGAGAAGAAAAGAGGAGAGGAGAGGAGAGGGGAGGGGAGGGGAGGGGAGGGGAGGGGAGAGGAGAGGAGAGGAGAGGAGAGGAGAGGAGAGGAGAGGAGAGGAGAGGAGAGGAGAGGAGAGGAGAGGAGAGGAGAGGAGAGGAGAGGAGAGGAGAGAGGAGAGAAGAAGAGAGGAGAAGAGAAGAGAAGAGAAGAGAAGAGAAGAGAAGAGAAGAGAAGAGAAGAGAAGAGAAGAGAAAAGAAAAGAAAAAAAAGAAAGAGAGGAAGGAAGGAA